AATTTTATGAGTCTGACCAATTAAATTAATTAATTAAATAAAAATTATGTTTCACTAAAAAACAGTACGGACGCTTGATATTCATATTTCGATATTTATTCAATAACTGAAATATGTCTAATAGAATCTAGCAAATTTATTTACAAATTTAGATACATATTTCCTCTAGAATTTCATAAATTTACTTGTCATAATTCTATTCACTCTTCTACCAAAGCAAAAAAAATTTTGAACAATAATTTCGCTTATAGAACAATAAAGCGAGAGGCTACCTCCTAGTTACATTTTTAAAATTCACAAATCTGATATAAATATTCTACATTTATAAGCCTTTTACGTATTAGCAGTTTTCTTTTTTCAGTTTGAAATTGGCGATTGGCAGATATGTAGCTGTTTTTGCAAAGTAAAGTTGATTTCATTTAAATTTATTTTTTGAACATCTACTTTCAATCAACTTTTCTTGTCGAATTCTGTATAAAATTATTCAATTCTGCCAATAGTTAGGAAAATACTGAAAATTTCAGCTCATTTGAACCTCTGACAAATTATTAAATTCAATGTTAAAATCATCTGAAAAACATATTCGGATAAGCGGGTGTCAAGAGAAAAGTTAATCATGATATTTTTGGCATATGAAGAGAAAATTCGATAACATAATTTTTATGTGTTTCGTAATTAAGACGTACCAAACTGTGAACTTGAGCAACATGTCACTAGATTCTATAATCAAAAAATTAAATTAAAATCAGTTACGATTACTGGCAATTTAACTTGCTTCCATTCAAAAACATTTAAAGTTGACAAACAATATTGCATTTAAAAATTTTCTTATAAAAAAATTTATTTTGCTTTCAATTGCTTGGAATTTATTAATTTTTATTCCAGCTAAGTTTCTTCGTTTTTGAATTTAATTTGCTTAAGTATAACACTTAGTTACTCGTTCACCTTTAATATCAGGCAATAAAAATGATATTAAATTTAAAGTAATCATCTTAAAAGTGGCTTATTTGAATCAAATTAGTGGGAATAAATGAAATGTGCATAAATTCACCTCAATTTTTTTATGAACCAATATTTTTCAAATAATTTAGAAATTCTGCAAAAAAAAAAATGGATGTAATAAAAACACCTTCTGCATATGAAAAATTTCAATATTTTTTTCAATTTAAAATTTCTCGGATTTTAAAAAAGAAGCTTTCATGAGTTTTTAATTTTCATATATAAAATTTCGACATTTCAAAATTGAATTTCTCGTACATATACACAATATGAATTTTCTCTCTATAACATAATGTTAGATTTAGATTGTAGCTATGTAGATACAAAAGTGAAAATACACAAAATTTAAAATGAATTTTCTATATTAAAATTAAGTCTAGACACGAATTTAGACAACCTTGATTTACAAGAAAATATTCAATTAAATTTATAGACGACAACATATGTAACTCCTTAAAGAATATGTTTTTCATTTTCTTGTTTTTGGAAACCTCACGTAGAAACCAAAAAGAACAGAATACAATTTTTTAATATTAAAGAATAATTTTTTTTTATTATTAAAATTCATCACATGGTACCAATGCTGAAATTTAACATAGTAAATTTTTTTTTTCGTTAAAATGACCCAAATTTATAAAATATTTACCAAGAAAAAAATGTAAGTAAAAAAACACAATAAATGTAGGTACCATAAATGAAAAATGTTTTTTAAATACACATACAAACAGGCACTTGTACACATTTTCCTTTAAGTATATATAGGTTTGTAAATAGATATACAATGAGAATATGTTTTGTATTGTGAATGTCCTTTAAAAGAAATGCCAATAATAAATTGTGTTCTGTACCCTTTCGTTTGTTGAAATCAATGTCTGCATTACAGAATTTTTTTGTTTATACATAAATCATTTCAATTCCATAAATATAGAAGTATTCATATATACGCAACCTATAAGCGAATGAAAAGTAATAAAAACAGATTTTTTTTTAATATATAGCGAAAAGAAGGGCTTTGAGCTCAAATTCTCTTCAATCATATCTATAGCTACTTGTTATCAAATCATATTTATATGTACAACTCTGCGTATGCAATTATTTATATACATATACATTACATGTATATATTACAAATATGTAAAATTAGCTGGTGACTTAAAGAGAAAAAAAATTATATAAAAAAACTAAATAACATTTTTGCCATAATTTTTCATTTTAAATGAAACACAAAAAAAAAACACAATAAAATGAATCAACTGAAAAGGATTTTCTCAATTGGTTACGTAATTGTTAGAGTTACCGTTATTGAAACATTTTTCGTTATTGAAATATGCGAATTTTTCAAAATAAAAAACCTAAACGATGTCATAATTAAAGGTAATTTTGGAATTTGTGAACCGATTTTCAAACATATTCGAGAATTTTGTCACATTAAGCCCAATTAGTATATGAAACGGTTTGCTCATATGAGCTTAATTTGTTAAGAGTCTCTTGTACGAATTCAGAAACTCGGTAAAACAATCTTCCAAAATATGCGTGAGCAAAAGTTATTCTCCAAAATTGTCAGTGGTATTGATTTTTCATACTTCTTAACGTTTAAAAAATTTCTATTTTTCAAAGTTTTTATATGGGAAAAATTTGTTTTGATTATCTTGCCCATTTACAGTACCGCTTTCAAAATAACTTTTTTTCCATAAAAGTACACATGCACTGACTATTGACTCACGAATTTCACCAGATCGATTTCAAATGCAGATACGCGGAAACAAGAGTAACACAATAAAATCAGAAATAAGTTCCTTTTTGTGAAAATTAAAGTCTTCAACAATATCCAATTAAATTATAAGTAAATTTTGTAGCATATTGTGAATTCAATAGGTTTGCAACTCAAATAACATTATTAATACGCATTTAATACACTTGATATTGTAGAAAATATCCTGAATTACGAATGTAATGACACGTGTGTGAATTTTTGTATATACAAACACAAAATAGAAGTGAAACTGTGTAAAAAAAAATTAAATTAAATATTTACTCAAAATACTTTAAATAAACTCACACACCGCAACATAACATTGTTTATTATTATTGCTCTCTTTTTTTTTATATACACATAATTTTATTCTCTCTTCAATATAATTTTTTCTCTTTAATACGCCTTGCTATATGCAAGTAAACACTTAACCATTCAACTTGTTTACCATTCCATTGAATTTTTCTTTTTATTATTTTTTGTGCTGTTTTCATCCTTGTTTGAGGAAATTCGGAATGTCGCATTTTGAACCAGTTAAATTTCAGACTTTTGAAAATATATGACCTGATTTAATAGGATCCATGTTACGTGCACGGAAATTAAAGTTAAAGTTGCTTTTTTTTCCTGTTTCTCTTTATTTTTTTTTTTGTTTTTTTAATGAGCAAAACAAAAAACCATCTAGATTTCTTTTTTTTTTATCAAAAAAGAAAGAAAGAAAATATTTTTTTTTACCGTAAAAATTATTACAATCTAGGTACACTAAAAATGCTCATCTACATAAATACTTAGTAGAGAGAAAATGGTTAACTTACGTATCCCTATAGAATGTTTCATAAGATCATCTATTATAATATAACATATAAATATAATTATATACGATACAGTTATTTTGCCGGGGCGTTATATAATAAACAAAAGGTAGAGTAAGAATAAAGTATAATATAGTCTATAGAAAATAAAAAGAAACTTTTTATAATATGGGACACATAGGACCAGTATAGAGCTTTTGGTTTTATATTATAAAATATAAAATAGTTAAAGTTATAAATATTGTGTGTGTGTTAAGAAGAATTTATAAGCGTTCAGGACCATCATATTTCCAAATATATATTATATATTGTATATAGAACCGTAGATATATAAGGTTCTAGAACCGAATTAATATTTTTATATAATTTTCTCTTTGTCTACTTTTTGGACTTTTTATTTTGGTAACTTTGTTTTCGCCTAGATAAATTTTAATTCGTTTTATTTTTCGTTTTTTTACTTATGAGATGTATGGACTTTAATAGGCGACGTTTTTGTGTCACAACATTAAAATTTTTTCCTTTTATTTTTTTCCTTATATAAAATGTATACCTACTGTTTTCGCAATATTCACTCACGTGTACGGTTTTCTTTAATTTTTCATTTCTCATTTTAGTTTCATTCCAGTAGAATAATTTTATTCATTTATTTTTATAATTTTTGCCACAATTTTAATTTATTTTTTTGAACATTAAAAGTAAAATTTTTTTCTTCTATTTTAAATACGCAAATGTTATTATGTGTATAAGAAATATAAAAGTATGGGAATGAAGGACAATTCGCACAATTTCTTGCTATGCAAATAAAGAGACAGGGATAAGGAAGTGGTATACAATTAAAAATAAAATGATTTTAATTAAAAATGAAAGAATAATTAACACTACATTTAATGAACAATGTATAAATTAAGTGAAATGATGCAAATTATAAAATAGTTCGAAAATTATAAAATGTTAAGTATAGAAAAGTGAAAAGGCTTAGGAATTTTGTTTGTCAAATCAGAGCAATTAAAGATTTAAATAAAAGATATCGAAATTTTTTTGTTTTATAATATTAAATAATTAGAATGGGCTGAAAATATTTTAATTGCTTAAAGGTTAAACTTAAAAATGAAAAATTTTGCTTTCGGTGAGCAATAATTAGTCACAAATGACAGTACAAATCGTAAGCAGACAACCAATGTCATTAATACTCGTATTGTATATGGCAATAAAAATAATGGCTATAATTCCAAAGCACGATTAATATGCCAATCATATGGTTATTGTGAAAACTAACTAAATTATAACCAACAACCCTGCCCTATTCGAATTATATGCATATATAAGTTTATTTGTTGATCACTATATAATAGTTTTATTTAAATTTGTTTTTCAAAAATATTATTGAATATATTTTTTATGATTTCTTCATTTAATTTATATTTTTCTTATAATTATAGGACCTTTGGTATTACTATGGAGACGTGGTGCTAATGTTCTAACAGCATCTAATATTATGGTAACAAGAGATGAAAGAATAAGACTGATAAATGGATATAATCTTGAAATATCAGATTTAGAACCACAAGATGCTGGTGATTATGTATGCCAAATTAGCGATAAAGTTAATCGGGATCAAATTCATACAGTTGAAATATTAGGTAAATACCATTTTCTTTTTAAATTCAATTCATTTAAATTGTCCTTTTTGATAAAGGGTTTGAAATTTTATTAAATTATAAAAATTTTAAGAGGATTACAAATTTAAATTTTTGAATGTTTTTAATTTTCTGCAGAAATCAAATTTTCTGCTCCCTAACAATAGAAAATCCTTGGCTTTTGTTAATTTTTCATATTAAATTGTCGTCTAGCTTTCACACACTTTTTCATGAAAAAAAAAAATGGAAAAGGATATAATTAATTGTTTTGTAATCTTCATTCCTCCATTTTTTACTTTAGTTTTGTTAATGTCAAAAACACTATAGTAAAAAATAAAAAACAAAAAATTAAAAATAACTAAAGGATTTTTTTCATTTTTTCTTCTTTTTTCATAATACCTTAAATACGTTTGTAAATAAATGGTAAAAACAAAAAAACAATAACAAAATGGAAAATTATCATTCTTTTTGGTTGCTGCTATAATAAATTCAATTATGAAATTATTTTGTACCAAAATAATATTAACAACAAAAACAATAATAAACAGTCCCTCCAACTGTACGTGCTATACCGACATCAGGTCAACTGACTGCAAGAAAAGGAGGTTCAATTACATTAGAATGTAAAGCATCTGGTAATCCGGTACCATCAATATCTTGGACGAAAAAGGTTAGTATTATTGTACATATAAGAGTAATAAAAAATTGAAGTCACATACTTTGTGATATAACCTTGTTAATACACTTACATAATTTTTTATAATATAGTAAGTAAGTATTAAATATATGAGGTCCTTTTAAAAAAGAAAAATATAACACGGAAATATGGAAAAAAATATTACAAATGTTTATTATGTAAGAATGTACTAATACAATTTATTTCATGAGAATAATTTGTTATATAAGGTTACGTAACACAAACATTTTCATATTGTATGATTTGTAAATTTCACATTGTACTGAATTATAAAAAAACTGTGTATAGAAAGGATAAGGAAATATTTTGTTTTCATTTTATCTATGAAAATTGGAAATATTTTTACCTTTAGACCAGAATATTTTCCTCTATATGGTTTCATATACACATGAAGAGTTTTAAGAAGAAAAGCCGATATGAAAATAAGTAGTAAATGAAAAATGTATTATGAATAGGAATATTAAAATTGAGTTGTAATTTATAAAATAATTCAAAAAATTTGGATTTTAAACTCTGAGCAATATTCTAAAACTTATCTTCTTCGCTGAACTTTGGCCATAGAACACAATTAAATGTAATAAATATTGTTGGTAGTGGTAAAGAAGAGGAGGCCAAATTACAATATTAAATTCAAATAAATTTTGCATTTTATTTCATATTTTGCAAAAGTAGTATATAAAAAAGCTCCAGAACAATGTTTTAAAATTAATTGCTTAAAAAATTATGATACTAATTTGATTTTTCAAACAAGTCCACAATAATATTGTGTTCAAATCTACGTCCGTACAAGTGTGAAATAAAAATATTATAGATGGTGTATGGTAATGCCGAAGAAGCTCAATTTAAATGATTTTGGTAATAAAAATACAGTGAAATGCTCCTTCCCTATGAAAAAATACAATATAATTCGAATTTTCTAGAAATTTCTGGGTAAATTCCTAAACTGGTTTTATAGTTTTTAAAGAAATTCCAAGTTATATCAAATTTATTTTGTTCTTGTTCTAAATCAATAAGTTAATGGCTCAAAAATTTTAACAAATAAATTTTCCTGTCTTGTCTTAAACCAATTTAATTTTGTCTGAATATAGAAATTGAAATTTCACAGTTTTTCATACATTAACATTAACGTATTTCGTTTGGTCTTATAATCTACTTGCTTCGAATATTCATCAACACTCCTATAAGCACGTATTGTACAGCAATTAATTACATAATAATTGTTATTTATGTATACAAATAGGTAAACATTGTTAACTTATAATGAAAAATATTTTACTAAATTCATCCTTTTTCTCACTGATATGACCTTAAGTCGTAAATGTTAACAATAATAAATTAAAATTGAGAAAAATGATTTTCTTTAGCATTAACTGACAAAAGCGTAATTAATGTTTCCGAAATGAACTTTTAAAAAGACACAAACCAGGAAAAAAAATATAAGAGTAAATAAATAAATAAACTATAAAGAAGTTTCCAGCAAAAAAAAAGCACATAAATCTCAAAGATTGCAATAATTTAAAACTATATAGTTCATTTATTCTTAAGTACTTTGTATTTTATATAATATTGGAATTGCATAGTGTCGAAGTACTAGGGTACATTAAAATAAAATTTCTCTCATTATACAAAAAACAATAAAACTTTTATTGTTTCCTCTCTCCTCTATACCCAATTACACAACAACAAAACCACTGAAAATTTTCAGCATTCAACAGCAATCACTTGTTACTATAGCAGTACCTATGTGCATTTATGTAAATATTGTATTGCTTATAATTATAATTGTGTATAACAACAGCGGGATAAAATCTTTTTAAAATTATATCAGTTATATTGATGATGACAATTTCATTTTGACATTTTCAGTTTAAATGCAAAAAAAAAAAAACAAAATGAAATTGATTGACTGGATTTAAATAAATTTTCGCATACGTCGTCGTATCGTAAATACAAAGTGTATACACCTATATAAATATCGCATACAATTTAGTATTATAGACTGAGCAAATAAGAAACTCAAGAAAGAAAAACAAAAAACTTAAAATCGACGACGATGACGACTCTGATTTATTGAATTCTCAATTGAAAAGCAATGAGAGAAAAAAAAAATTTGAGTAACTGCACAAAAAGAGAAAAACAAAAAGGAAATTATCGACTTCAAAAATAAGTTAATTTTGAAAATGGGTTAAAAATGAGGATTTAAAAGCTGCGTATAAAATGCTTTAATATTTAAGACGGTGGGAAAAAGAAAAAAATATTATGGGAGCAGCGGGGGGATTTTTTTATTATATTTAATGGCATTTTATGTAGAACAAAAAATTAATTTTTAAGTGTACAAAATCTTATATTTTTTTTTTATTTTTTCTCTTTTTTGTGTATATTGCATTTATTTTGTAATTGACAGTTTTTTAATCTACTGTCAAAATGAATTAATTGATTTTTGAAAAAAAAAATGAATGTAGATTATTATTAAATCGCTGCAATTCCCGTTATATATTTAGATTTTCTGTTTTTTTAAAGCTTACAATGGATTATACGTACTTTTACAATAATAATTTGAAAATATTTAAAAGGATAAAAATTATTTATTCATTTAAAATATTCTGTTTTGCAATATCTACATTATTCATGAATTTAATTTGTGAGTCAAAAAAAAAAATTTTGAAAATTTAATTAATGTTTTTACATAAAAAATAAATTTAATATACAATTTATGTAAAAAACACAGCTACTATTTTGTTTGAATAAAGTAATATTGAAATTTTCATGACCCTGCCGTATACGTTTGGAAGAGTTATGCTTCCACAGAATAGTTAACAAGGAAACTGTTCTGCTAAATATTTTAACATAATCAGCGGAAACTCACAAATAATCTAAATTTAATCTTATACATGTACAACTTCAATAGACAAAGTAAATTAATATTTTACAAATCAAAATTTTCCTTAAATTAAAATATTATGAAAATATTGCATAAATCTAGGGGCATGGGAATTTTTCAAAATTGCAAAGGTTTTCTTTTTTCCTACTAAAAGAAACAATTGTTTGTAGAATTATAATTCGAAAATAGATATTCAACATAAATTATCTCCAAAAAAAAATACAAAAATGAATTCATTTAATTTTAAAAATTATGAAAAATCTTGTAAAATTATTATCCAATTAAAAATTACATAAAATTTTACTTGGAAATTAAATTAAGTTCTTTTTTACATTAAATTGACCTCAATAGCAAATCAGCAAATTGTTTTTAATTTTATATACCTACAAACAATATTAAAATGTTTAGTAAATAATTACTAAAATTTTCACCAACCCTTGCATAACCACATTATGCTGATAATAATATAGAACTTCACCCTCCCAGATATATCACAAATTAAAGTTAGGTATTAAAACATAAAATTTTTTGTTACCAAAACTATTCTTCAATAGAAAAATGTAATTTTTCCATAGTAAAATGAGTGAAATTGTTATGGACGGTGAAAAGTAAAATTATAATTATTTAAAAAAAAATTTTTGAAAACAAATTATTTTTCTTTTTTTTTATTATTTACTTTTGCACCTCATTAAATGCTTTTGTAAATTTAATTGAAATGAGTTTCCTCATTAATAATTACTGGAAGAAATTTTATTTACAAGGTGAAATTTAATATAAACGAGAATTTTATGTACTCATAAGGACATTTGCATTCCCAAAGGAAAAATTTTATACCATTTTGTATTTGAATTAAATTCTAAATAATTAATTTTTCTATTATTATAAATTTTACCCTCCTCTATCTCTGAAATTTATTCAATTTTTATTTTTTTGTGTGTAAGGGTATAAATTGTATTACCGTTTTTAATTATATAGAAATTTTAGTGTAACCTAATCAGGTGCAACCCCTCTATTTCTTTCATGATGAACAAAATCACAAAATATTTTCATGAAAAATAGATTCCAAAAAAGGTTAATCCAAAAGTGTTAAATAATTTCGGTAAAAGACAGAATAGTTGAAATTATGTGGAGCTTCACAATAGGCTTCTATAAATTGGTTTTACATTATGTGTTTTATTGCTTCTAGGACAATTAATTACTTGCATTAGAATTATAAAGAAAATTAAAACACTTTTCGACAAAAAATAAATTTCAATAAAATTTTTATTTTTTTTTCAATTAAAATTTCATTATCAAAGAACTTCCAATGAAATTTCTGACAATCAGGCTTAAACAATGTTCGAATTTGCAAAATATACAAATTTCTAAAAGGGAAAGCAAATTTTCATTATTAAGAAAAATATTGCATAAATATTGTATTGAAAATCTTAAATGTGTAACTTTAAATCATTTCGTATAACAATTTTTATTTTGAAATTTCTACATAATGAAGTTAAATTTTTATAATTATTATTTCTCAATTTATTTCTATAATGATTATCCGCTATTATATTACAAAATTTTCCAAGTTTTTCCACAAAAATTTTCTAATTAGGTCAATTAATTTTTATTCAAAAACAACTTGTGTCACTCGTACAATCATAATTACATAGCAATTTAAACGTCATAAGTCATAATTATTTTATAAACAAAAGCAAAAAAAAAAAACAAAAAGAAATCAGAAAATTAAAAAAACAGAAAAAAAAAACAAAAAATAAAACAAAATCGGAGGACGTCTGTCTACAGATTAAAAGAACAAGAAGGGGAAAATATTTTTTGTAAAAATAAATAATAGAAATTTTTCTTTTATATTTTTATAAAATGTATTGTATATAAAATATATATGTATGTATATAATATTTTTTGTAATTTACCCCTTTAGTCAACATTTACGAGTAGTAATCATTTTTGCTAAAGAAATTTAAATAATTCCCTCCTTCAATGTCCTATCTCATTTTTGAAAAACAGAAAACAACAACAAAATTAGGATAAGGTTAAAAACAAAGAGAAAATAAATAAATAAATAAATAAAAATGTTTTATTACTATAAAAA